CTCTCTCTCACACACACACACACACACACACACACACACACACACACACACACACACACACACACACACACACACACACGCACGCACGCACGCACGCAATATGAAAAAATAGGACAATCAGCCTACCGCGAGTGAGTCACCTGCGTATTTGTCTTCAACTGAACGGAGGTACAAATGGCGTCATGAATGGCAGATGATAGGTGGGTCACGGTCGGGGCGATATCAAGCCCTCGACGTGTGCTCTCCTGTAAATAAAGCAGCGGAAGCCCGCGTAGCCGTTGTGCCGGAGCAAGACTTCCACGCCCCGGTCATGGCCGGGTATTTTCATGTCCTTGTCAAGAACGGAGTGGCGATAGTACAATGCCGAATGTTCCCTACCGGCAAAGGCTACCGCTTGACGTCGAGGAAGCCTCTCTGGCACTCGTCGCCTCCGGTCTCCGGGAGGGTGATGAATTATTCATGAGAGGGGTGCGGCCAGTATGCTCGCGCACGCGTGCGCGTGTCGGCTCGCGACACTCCTCCCGCTTGTGGACAACAAATTCGGTGGTCTTCAGCAGCAGCTGTCAGGGGACCCCTTGTGGTCAAAGTAGAACCAAGCGATGGATTCGTCTCAGTTCAGGCGGTCCTCGGTTTAGCGCTGTGGCGACGTAACTTGAACGGAAATATAGGAACGCGCCGGAATCGATCACCAAAGTACGCCAACGCACTAGTGAAGTCATAATTAGAATCAATATTTGTCTGAAAACACTTGTAGCTAGGCCAGAGATCGAAAACAACCAAATGAACTGAGTCTGCCCACTTGTGTCAGGCCGCGCGTGCCCTTAGAAAAATTGTTTTGGGCTCCCTTATTTCTGCCAAAAATATTATTTGATCATACACTGACGATAAACTTATTACTATGTTTAATTTATCCCGTTGTCCATTTGCCATGATTTTATGTATGGCTTTCATCTGCAAAGCGGTATCACACTAAGAAGAATAAACTATTACAGCAGCTCCTGGTAGCTTACGATATAGTGAATGGGTAATACAGTACTGTGTACTGTGCTCCATAGTGTCATCGGCAAAGAGCCAAGTAGGAGCTACGTCATTGCGTCATCATAAAGCGTCCGAACGTCACCTCTTACGTCGGCGCTCACCGAAGCGCCGAACAATAACAATGGGGTATCAAAAAAAAATAAAAATAACAATGGGGTATCCAATGCAGAATCTAGCAAGCACACCTACACACTTTTCAGGATTTCAGGGGACAACTATTGTCTTTTATTGACACCCTTGTGTTTATCGCTGTCGTTTGACTTTAACTACAGCACATATTAAAGGGAACCTATCGTTGCAATTCTGTTGGTGACTCGAAAATAAGAAAAAAATGATCATTTTACAAAGGCCGGTGTCCACTTTGAAAACGACCAGTTTCAAGTGAGGTCCAAGTAAAAACCCCAGACAATAATGGCGCTCCAAAATGAAGTCAGCATTCATGACAATTTCATGTCATGCTGAACTCTGGGCCCAGCTCACCCATTCACACGGCGGTTGGAAGCCGTATGGGAGGAGAGAACTGGAATTCAGGCAAACAAAAAAGAGAGAATGACAGAATGCCAGTTGAATTAAAAAAAAGCTGTAAACACAAAAATAGGTCCCCTTGAATCAGGTCAACAGTGGAATTGTAAAACAATTTGCACGCGGTAGTAGCAATGCATACAAAGTGAGCCAGTGGCAGTGTGAACAGCGAGCGACACAGTGGGACAAGTACAGACATATTCAGATTTGCTTGACGTGAACTCATGATGTCGCAGTCGATTAAAGTGCCCACCTACGGGTTGACCATTTTAAAACAACCCAGACTGTGTCTTTTGTCACAGATGCTACGAACTATGTTTGCTCTCAGTGGCAATATTCGTTTTAGTGAGGCTGCACAATCGATTCACGCTCGACCCCCCCCCCCCCATGTGCATTGGGGGGGTGGGAGATGGGACGTTTAAGGGGGAATACTGATGGAGTGAAGGAGATAAAGGAGACAAAATATATCATGTAAATTTAAGAAAATATGTTTTGTCAGTCTGTCGCAGCAACTTTTTACATACAAACACACGCACCGATTTTGCATAACACGCATGGCTTTTCATGAGAAAAATGCATAAGAGGGTTATCAACTATATATAGACTAACCCCATAATCCTTCATCAAATCTGTTCATATCTGACAATGTCACGTGACTGAGAAGTCAGAGAGGTGCAGCGATAGAGCCCGATTCTTTTTGTCCAGAAAACAATAACAACAACAAAAAGAAACTATACGATCTTTACAAAAAGATTGTTGACAAGTGAACGGGGTACTTTACATGAAATGCATCAAGCGGTCACATCTTGATCATGCGCTCACGATACCGTCGTTGCAACCGCATAATTTAGGCAGGCAAAACGTGTCACACATCAGATCCGCAGCCGCTGCGCATCGCCACATGCCGCCGCTGAAGTTTATGGCTTCAAACATTCCGACTCCATTGATAAAATGTACAGTTGATCCACGTTCGTCTCGGCGCAGGGACGGTGCTCGAGCGGGACCCCGTGGCGGCGGCGGCGCTGTGCAATGCAGAGGTATGAGGAGTGGGCGTTCACGGGGAGGGGCATCTGGCCGGGGGGCTCCGGCCGGGCGAGGGAACGGACATCGGGGACGCGCCGCTCGAATTTCGGCGCTTTGTTTGCTCGTGTTCGCCGCTTCCTCGGTCTCTGCCCTTCCCTTTTCCGGCACCTTGGCCCTCGAGTCCCTCAGAGTTCTCCAACATTTCCTGAATGAGTGGCGGCATGGAGCCCGGTATCTCCATTTTCAGTGTGATCACTCGTTCTGCTCCTAGGGGGTCCAAAAAGTTGAACAAGGTGTTTAAAAAAAAAAAAAAAAGCAACGCCGCCACCCCTTCCCATACAAAAAAAAAAAAAAACGAAGGCTTGTTGCACAGCTGTGAGACCACGACATAGTTAGGTTCCATTTTGAGCCACTTCTTTATATTCAAACCCATGTTCATAGCTTTGTTTCCGAAAGCCCTTCTCTTCTTTGAGTCGGGGGTCAAGGGAGTGCAGTTAGGGTCGCCAAGTGAGGCAATTTCTGAGAAATGCAAACAAAACATTCGCTTTGGCAACTCCTAGCTGGCGGTTTTCACCTTTCGCGGGAGGGATTTACTGTCTATCCGCCCGCGAGGCGCGCGCTGCTGCGGGTGTTGCCTTATTTTTTTTGGGGGGGCTCCCGCGGGGCCAACAGGTTCCATTCAAACAAACCACCACCGCAGATGAATTTCTAATCCTCTCCAATTGTATTGGAACGGTGAGGAGGTTAATTCCTTGATTTTCGCCGCGTCGACTGAAAACATTGGGGCTTGACATGAAAATGTGTTTTGGAAATAACTTGAGCCGGCCACCATGGTATACTGACCCTTCACGCTGATGCTCCTGAGGTCCGTAATCTTCATCAGGATCTTGGGGAACATACAAGGTTTGTCAGGTCTCCTTCTCCGGACATAGAGCTACACAAATAAGAGGTACAACAAAAGTAGACCTGGTTTTGAATTTGAAATTGTAGCCTGTTGATCAAACAAGTTGATGGAATGTTGAACAAAATACTTTTTTTCCCCCTCTCTCTACTGTTAATTCAAGTCAATGTAACGCTGCCTGAGTAAATTTACGTAAACATAAATAAGTAAATAAAAGCAAGAGCAACGAGCTCAGTCAGAAAATCGGATTAGTAACTTGGTCACCGTTAAAACACGGCACGTACAGCTCGTACAGATTTGATGGCAGATACACTTTGAGCCTGGCACAAATGAGGCATTTTCTCTGGATGTGATGGATGGGAACGTTTCCACATTTGAACCCAATACAACTTGAGCACTGAACACCATTCCACACTTTGTCGGCGTTCATATCTACGACAGGTGCCCGCTACGGTGACTGGATATCAACATGTGCCTATAGCGTATCCCAAATGACACGTCAAACCTTCAGAGCTTCCAGCATCGGCTCCTGTAGAACATCCACTTTGTCCGACTCCTCCAGATCCTGACGGTCTGGGGGCCAAACACAAACACGGAAAATAAATGCACTTGATGAATTGCTACTGCGGTACGTCGACCGATGAGTCGAATTCATGCTGAGCTCTTCGCGCAATTAACTTGATTAGAAAATGACCTTTCCCGAACAAAAAATCTCCGTTCGGTTCCTTTTCCTCAAGCCCTGACCACTTGAACGTGTTCCTAACACTCGCGTCTATTTGCAGAGCCTTAAACGTCTCCCACATTTGACAGCTGCAGTACCTCCACACAGCAGGCAGATGGCACTGAGTAATCCAGTTTCTGCATCGTCCATCTCCAGGGGGAGCAGCTGGCTGGCGAAGGAGAACACCAGGTCGGTGAGTGGCCCGAAGCCGGCGTTGTGCATCTGCGTGCGGTTGAGAGTCAGACCGTCGGAGAAGGTCATGGTGTCCTGGTCCGGGGTGTAGCGTGTGCAGATCCTCAGGATCTGGGATGAAAGGGGATGAAGCGGTAAGGCGGCCTTCCAATTTGAATTCCTCCGGGTGAGATTTTTGCGCGGCTCCGCCGTCACCTACGGACCAGTATGTCGAGGCAGGCCGCTTTGAGAAGAGTGATCTGATCGGCGATGGTTAACGTCGTGAAGCCGGGCAGCTGCTTGGCGAACTCCACTGTCTTGATAATGCATTTGGTGGACAGCTCGCTAAACTTGTCCCAGAGGTTGATATCCAGAGGAACACGATGCTCGGCGCTGTTATTCTGCGGCCGGGAAAAGGAGACGCACCAAAAGGCATGACGAATAAAACATGCTTAGTGATGATGCTTTCACAAAAGAGGGGGGGGGGGCAACTTTCAACCTGAAACTAAGGAAAGGTGTAAGGGAGAAAAGTACCGTGGTGTACTTGCCCAGCTGACCAAGAGAGGGAAACGTGTCTTGGTGCGCGCGACGAACTCGCTCAATCATCTGCTCCGTTTCTGCTGACAAGACGTAGAGCTCCACCTCCGCCTGCCTCTTCTCCTCCTTCTTCTTCTTTGTCCGGTCATTTCGGACCACTGAGGACAGAGGCCAAGTCACAGGATGTAAATTCGTGGGGAGGGAAAAAAAAAAAAAGCTCCATCTTGGTTCCAAACACAAGGAGACATGGCGGTCCGGATCAGTTGTTACTGGCACGGAGATCCACGTCTGAACTTGACAATACTTTAACGACGATGCTCATCGTTTGCAGTGGCGTCGAAGTTACTGCGACATACTGAGACAAGTTTCTTTGGTGGCCACACGAGGGAGCCAAAATCTTCAAAGCCGCTTTTTGTATGATGCACTGCAATTCTCCACCGTTGGAAAGGACCACCCAAATTATGAGCCGGTTGTTGTTTGATGAAAACCGTATGATGGTGTCGTGTATTAAAACGTTTTTTTTCGTTGGAATGGTGGACGGATCGCTGTGGCCGGTGTCGGCTTATATTCCGCAGTGTCTCAAGTCCTCCAGAGAGTGCATGCGTTGAGCAAAAACAGCCACCAGAGGGCGACAAGAGTCGACACTAAAACGCTTTTGAGTCAACGACTCTCAAGTCCGAGCATGATGATGAACTTAACTGCCAGTATGGTGAGAAAACTCAAAATGTTGTCATTTTACAGTTTCCCAATACATTTGTCTTAAGCATCATTTTTTTTCATTTACAATGAAACTCACACTCCTTGGACATGCCGACATCGAGGCATTTCTGCAGGCGACAGGACTGACACCGGTTGCGCGTCACTTTGTTGATGACACAAACTTTATCTCGATGACAAGTGTACGCCATGTTTTTCTGGATGCTCCTTCGAAAGAATCCCTGAAACAGATGTGACAGAATACAGCAATTCCTTTAGAGACGGTAGCGTCACCTTTGGCCTCCGCTTTATGTTCAAGTCCAAAAAACTCTGCGGGTGTTTTTGTATTTGGAATGCGCGCAACTCTGTGGATGATAAGGTGGAACGCCAGTGTGACCTGAGACCAACAAAAACTTACAATGGTTAACAAAGTAAATACTAATTGCGTGGAAAGCGTTTGTGATTGTGTGTGTGTGTGTGTGTGTGTGTGTGCGTGTGCGCGCACTTCTGTGTGCGGTTGCGCGCTTGTGTGTGTCTGTTTATTGGATTAGATAGAGCAAAGAGGATTAGTGATCCTCGGGGAGGTGTAAAGGTCACGGCCTCCGCCCCGGCACATTATGCAAACACCCTGTCGACTCAACCTCGGTGTAAGCGACTTCCCCGAGACGTTGCTCGTCTCTCTGTTGTGATGGTGTGAGTTTGTGTACCTTGCAGCCCTCGCATGCGCTGACTCCATAGTGGTATCCGGAGGATTTATCCTCACATACAAAGCACGGCTTGTAGATGCGCGGCGGAGGTGGTGGAGATGGGGGGCTTGTGACCAGCAAATCTTCTCCAGAACTCGTGCTTTCCGTTTCTATTGCTGCGAAGACGTCAACAAGAACATGGAGTGTGACACCAATTGCATTAAGTTTCTGCCAGCAGATGATTCACCTTTTGCTTTGCAATTTATTGAAAAATCTAACTGGGTAGGTTATACGACGCGGACAGGTTTTATTTTTGTAGCCGCGTTAAATTCGCTCACAAAAATGAGACCAAAACGTTTTCAGCAATGCATGGAAGGAAACTCGACGAGATGAGACTAAAAATCCCAACTTTGGAACGATCCATTGCACTCGTTGCCATCGACCTTTGGTGAGGCTCGGACAACGCAGGAGTCGCCGCGTTACCCCAATAGCAAAGCCGCCCATCAAAACAACGGGAGAAAAACTTTAGGGCGATACCTCGCTCGAGATCGTACTACGCCCGGACGGGAAGGAGCCACAGGTGCCTCTCGCGCAGCTCACCTCCGACTGTTCAAAATTGCCCGCGCTTTAGCACTGGGGCTCAGTACCCCGTCGCTAATACGTAAGCGAGTGAGTGCGCCGGATTTTTGCCTGCGTTGCTTCAAGGCGTCGTCCCGAGACAGAAGCGCCTCATCTATTTTGATGCCCTTTTGTAGCGGCGCCGGATACATCCAAGGAAATTCCCATCGTGGCTCATTCTGGCATAGGATCAATGCGGCCGGCGAGCAGGTCTCGAGCGCATTCAAGGCGTTTGGCACGACGGAAGGAAGATGGAAGTCTCCCCGTCCTGTCTGTCGTCTCTCCGATGCGCAATCATTGATCCACAATCCAAGTGCCCCTCGGTCATGTCGCCGATAGGACCCGAATGAGCGACGCGCATACATCTTTGAGATCGCACCTCATAAAATGTTTCATTTCTCACGTGGGCGCGCTCAGGGGGAGGATCACGTGTGCGCCTTTGGCAAAGAGTTGAGAAAAAGCAGTTGTGAAGTGAAAGACAGAAGGAGACCTCGTGTGCATTTCAGAGGAAAGGATGCGCTACGCAACGCAGGGACAAAGTCTGATATCGGTCTTCATCTTATTTCAAATCCAAACAAATCGCAACTAGAATTGGCGGGAACTCAACTCGGCTCAACTCAACTCAAGTGTATTTCGAGAGCACTTGCGAACAACCGCCGCTGCATCCAGAGTGCCGTACGAGGAGCAAAAACAATTCATGCAACAAACAATCCATTCCGAACGGAGACGGTAAAAAGCACCGAAACAGTCCAACTCAAAATCAAGTCACAGGCTGAGTGCGAAGCCAAAAGCCAGAAGAAAAATGACGAGTTGGAAAGACAGGCAGCGAGGGGGGGGCTCGCCCAACGTTGGTTCCAAAGAGAGGGAGGGGCAACGGAAAAGGCTCCATGCCCGCGCGGGCCTGCGCTTGGTTCTCGCTACCTCCACTCGCGTCCGGTCCCCCTGCAGACCTTCGGCACCGGGCGGGAGTTCAGAAAGGGACGGTTGGGGATCTCGATCGCGGGACTCTGACTCGACTCATTTTTGTTTTTTAACCCCCCCCCCCCCCCAAGTGTGGTCAGAGAGACAGCAAAAGAGACACCGAGTCACAGTCATTTTTGTTTGAAGTGCAGTACGACTGGATTTCAGTCAAGGAACAAGAACTGGCAAGGTGATGACCTTCCATATGGATTCCAACTTTTCCTAGCCGACATACAATAGGAACAGGACTGGGCAGGGTGAGGCCCTTCCATATGGATTCCAACTTTTCCTAGCCGACATACAATTTGTCTCCACCCTCTCTGGCCTTTTGCTTTGTGTTCAGAGCCACGGCAATGATGGAGTGTGACACATTCCAAGGTCATGACCCGAAAGATTAAAATCACAATCCCTTTGCTTCTCCCCCTTTCCCTGTGCCTCTGCCTGCACTAACCTCTAACCTGACACACTTGCACGCACACACACTTGTCCCCTCCCCCCTACCTTGGCAACCATACCAGACATTCCACGATCGAGAGGTTGAGCTTCCCTCCCTTGATCTACTCTCTTCCAGCTAAAAGGAACAACACGTGGAAACGGGGGCTCTCCCATATCCTGAGCGGGCAAGCTCCCGTTCCACCGGCTGCCCAACTGACATTTTATTCGCACTGTGTTTGCGCTCGTGTGCTTCTGGCACGCGAGTCAACACTTTCCAAAGAAGCGGAATTCTTGCTCAAGCTCCAAAGCTGCTCGCGCAACAACGGGAGAAACGTTGGCTTCAAGTTGATTTTTAAGGCAC